TAAAAATTGCTGTTTCAAAAACTTTTGCAAACCCAGTTACTATAGATATTGGCCTGTAGTTACTTACAGGTATACCAGCCTTTTCCCCTTTTTTGTATACTGGCTTAATAACTGCATATTTTATTCTTTCTGGATATAGACCCATGATTAATGACTTATTAATTACATAAGTTAGAGGTTTACTAATTTGTTGTCTGCACAGTTTTATAATTTTATTTGTTACACCATCATACCCTGAAGGTTTTTTTATTTTAATTTGCTAATTATACTAATTAATTCCTCTTGTGCAATTAAATTAAGATTCATATCTGGAATACCATTCGGGAAATGGGAATGCAAGTATGACATTGCAGTATAAACATTAGTTTTCTTAACATTACGATTTTCTGTTATTGAAGTGAAATATTTGTTAAAACTATGAGCTGCTTCTTCAGTATTGAATTTTTTTACTATTATTTTGAAAAGTCTGAGGCAGATGTTCTTTATTCTGATTGTTAATTCTACCTGTTTCAGTGTTGATAATGTTCCAGGTAGTTTTTATTTTGTTTTCAGCTGATGTAATTAACTGATTATAAATTTTCCTTTTAGCTTCTCTTATTACTCTTCTTAATATCATGCAGTAGGATTTATAGTATGATTTAAACAAATAGTTGTAACTGTTTCTACAGAGAATGAACAAAGATTCCTTCCGTCTACAGGAGGTATGTATATCAGCTGTTATCCAGCCATTATCCTTGAGTTTATTTGTTACATTTTGCTTTGGAAAGCATGACTCATAGACAAGTAAAAATTTATTTAAAAATGAGTTGAATATTTCGTTTACATCATTAAGTTTATATATATTTTCCCATTTTTCATTAGATAGTTTATTAAGAAATTGAGCAACTGAGCCTTCATTTACTAATCTTCTTGAGATCCCCTGCACGTTTTTCTTCACCATGAAATTGATACTTTTTAGTATGAGACACTGAGCATTGTGATCTGATAGTCCATTACTAATAGAGATTACTTCATATGAATTTATCCTTGCCTTAGCTATAAAAATATTATCAATAGCAGAGCTTTTGGTCACAGTTATTCTTGTTGGGAACTGTACTGTATGAAATATATTATATGATTGCAACAACACTAATAGCTGTGTTTTACATGTTGACTCTTCTAAAAAATTATGTTAAAATCACCACATATTATAAATTCAATTTTTGGTTTATAGAGTAATTTGAGTACTTTTTCAAACTTATTTACAAAGTACTCAAATTCCCACAAGGTGACCTATATATATACATAGTACAAATATGTCAGTTTTAGCTAAGGAAATCTTAAATGTACAAATTTCTACGTTCTTTTCATCACAGAACTGTGCTAAATTTATATCTGATCTATTATAACACCTCCTCCCTGATGAGTCATATGGGCATACTTTTTTCCCAATACATAGTTCTGGAAATTGCTGTATAATAATTTCTGGTCAGACATGAGATGCTCAGAGAAGCATATTAAGTGAGGATTTATATTATTGCTAACTACTGAACACTTCAATTCATCAATTTTGCCACCAAGACCTCTGATATTTTGACGTACATGAATTAAAAAGTCTTCGCTATAATTACACTTATTGAAAAGAGATTGATTCGATTTTACATCATAAAAAATCCTAATTTCTGGTAGGTGGTCTTCTTTTTCTTCTATTATTATGCTCTCTATCCCGATCAAGGATTGTTTCTATCACCTTTCGTTGATTACTGATGTCATTTCCCTCTATAACATTTTTGTGTACACCCACTGTCTGGTCACAATCACTTGAAGTTCTCACTTTCACTATCTTCTTTTCCTTTTCCATCTTTCAGTTGAGATTCCTTGACTTCTGGACTTGTATTATCTCCTCCCTGTACTTGGCAAGGTTCATTCAAATTATATATCCAACTCTGGGCAATATCGTCTCCCTTGTCCTTAGTTGAGAGTTCCCATATCTGATTTATCATCTCTTTCACTCTATTTTTCCCCATTACATCGAGATGAAGCCCGTGCCTGGTATAACATGATCTATCCAATTCAATTTCCACATTACTCTCTAACTTAATTTTATATATTTTCCTACTGAATACTTTAATTTCTTCATTAACACACGAGGAGTCCATTAAGTCACATCTGTGAGGGGCTGTAATTAAAATAAAATTAGTATTTTTTTTTCCTATTTGTAAACTTTTTAAGTTTCAAAGGAGGTCACTGAGCAAAATTCAAGGGCATTTCCCGCCCAACAGTAGTCTCTAACGCCTCTGATAGATGGGGGAAGCATTATAGATACCACCAAGCCACTAGAGGCCAAACTCGCTGGCTCGGGACTGATGGTACGCACCATTATCGGTAGGGTATAGAGACTGGTAGAATATCATAGAGGGAAGCACAATGGACCAATACTGGTCTAAGTGCATGGGGAAACCCACCCTCTCCAATAACTAACTAACTAAACTTTTTAAGTGTCTAAGTCCATTCATTGTTTAATATTTTGCAACATCATTTGAGACTCCCCATAGTATAACCAGATCATCCCTAGTTAGTAGGTTAACTTCCTGTTCGCACAGTTGCACACTATTTTGTAATCTTGCTCCTGGCATAACTGTGCTCATAACCTCAAATTTCTTGTCCACTTGGTTCGATAATTTGGACTCATATCCTTTTATGTGACTGACCCCCATTAGTATGATTTTATTTTTCGCTACTTCCCATGAAACACAAAATTCTTCATTATGTAATGTTCTCAATATCCTGCTGAAGTTCATACCCCTTACATCAAAATGTTCTGCGACTGTACTTGTGTGTTCTGTCATGACTCAAGATGTAGGTGGACTGACTGAATTACAAGTATATTGGCTGACTAGGAGCAGTGAAATAACACAGTGACAGTGATAATCACTTGGCTAGCTGAGCATGCATTCCAACCATTAAGAGCTTGTAGCATATCACCACCTCATACTGATGACCAAACTAGCTGCAGCAGGCTAGTTCTCTCATTAAGTTGCTGTGGCTGATCTCACCACTCACCCCAAGCAATGAATGCCAACCTTTTCATTAATGATCGTGTGGGACAGTACATACATGGAATAATCTGAAGAGCTAAGGTCTCAGGTATCAATTATGAATTTGTGATGACTCAGACATGTAGAACCTGACCCTCCATTTGGGGAATATTGGTTGGTTAGGACTTCAGTTACAACTGGGAAGAAGAAGAGGGAGCAATGTCAAACTTGGAAACTGTTCAATCAAATTAAATATTGTCACGTGTTTCCTAGGCAACATGACAAGAAAATTGTGTGGGTCTTGAATTTGGACAGTCACTCTTTACACTCACATATACAATTATTTGCACTTATGCGGCGTCTTGGCTCTGCTTGGAGATCTTGTCAAAGCTAAACTGACTGGTCTCTTGTTGGATATGAACTAACTGGTGTCTTGCAGAAGTTGGACTGTTATATCCTGCACTCAAGCTGAACAGGGAACACCTTGTTGAAGGGTTAAGTTTTGCCAACTGCTATGCAATGAACCTCTGGTTGCTGCGGGAATACATTTTTACTGCCTCAAACAATTCGTTGCTTAGATATTGCTAGCCGAGTGTTAGGCGCAAGTGTTCTTCAAGTGGTTTCCTAGGCAGTATGCTTTCTCATTGTCCATTGCATAGTGATGGATGCTTTCAGGCAGCACGTCACATTATGCTTTTCAAAACACTGGCATAATTATTAATGACACAAATATTTCACTCTTCATTAATAAAATTCTGCCACTATAGCACTCAATGTAATACCCCTAGTACTCCCTTCCAGCACTGTCCACATGCCAAATGGCGCAAACAGCTCTCAGTAAATGCTAGGTAACTGCTGCCCTTGGCAGTGAATGCCTTATGCCAGATGTTTTCAGAATAAACATGAAGGCAATTTGCCTAGTGTCTACTGATTTAGTACTTAGTCTTTATCTGTGCACCACATGTGTTTGTGTGTCTGTTTTCTGTGTTCTACTACTGTTCAATGTTGAGATAACACCTGAACTCACTGACTTACATGACAATAATGATGGATATTATATTTGTAACTGGAGAGAGGCTAACCTCGTAACAGGCCACAGAACTTAGTAGAGGGAGTGACTCCAGACTTCATAAAGAAACAGGGATGTAACAAGTCTTCAAGACAATTCCAAGTGACATAATCAGACCTTCTCTTATTTAACTAGACACTCATTGATACAGTGACAGGCTACAGGCTGGATGGTGAGGGTTTGATTCCTGGCAGGGGCAAGATATTTTTCTCTACTCCTCAGTGTCCAGACTTAACTTTGAGGCCCACCCCAGCATCCTGCCCAATGGGCACCACGGTGTCTTTCTCCGGGAAAAGTGGCCAGAGCCTGGAGATGACTACTCACCCCTCTTTTGAGATGAGGTCAAGGAAATGGCGGAGATATATCTCTACTCCCCCACACATCTTCATGGCATGATGCTTTATTAATTAAGAACAGGAGAGACTTCATCTTTACCTTACGAGGGTAAGTCAATAAGTAAGTTACAAATGGATACAGAACTTAAAACAAATAAGAGTAATGATTTGAAAAATGCTTTTATTTCTCAACATAATCTCCCTGTACATTGAGGCACTTGTCCCATCGTTTCACAAGCCCCTGAAAACCAGCAGCATAAAATTCTTTGGGCTGCTATCAGAACCAGGTGACTTCACTTTCTACAGCTTCATTTTCGGGAAAATGTTCAGTCAAAAGACGATATTTAAGAGGGCCGAACAAACGGAAGTGACAACTCGGGCTAGCATATCATGTCCTTCATCGTGGTAACGCGTGAGATGCTGTAATGCCAGACACATTCTTTGCATTTTGTGTTGTGGGGTCAGCATGCGCGACACCCATCGTGCACAGACTTTGTGAAAATCTAATCTATCATGCATTATGAGGTAGGCCATGCCGTGTGAACAACCAATAGCAGTGGCTATAGTGTCTACAGTTACCCTTCTGTCTGCTCGGATTAAGTCTTCAACCCCTTGCACATTCGCCCCTGTGGCAATCTCCATTGGCCGGCCGAGGCGGTGTTCGTCTTCGATACATGCCCGCCCTTCAGAGAACTTCTGCACCAAACTGTAAACAGCTTGACGTGACAGGCACTTCTCACCGTAGATGGGAGGCATTTCTTTGATTCCATACCTTTTGCCGACAAAAATCGCACAAAGGAGCCCTGCTCCAAGTTTGTACACTAAAAGGCACCGTCATCTTGAACGATCTTGAACAGCCCCGCGAAACTCCCATGTTATTGATTGGCAACATGGCCGTCATGACACCAGGGTGTAATGCTGCTATCTCTACGCAGCCTACATGAACTAAATTTAAAATGGCCTCCAGGGCCGAGAGCACAATCGGTAAGAAGGTATGCTACCATAGCAACTATTTTGAGTGCTCCCCCTCGTCACCCTTCCAAGGCTTTTTTCGCTATTAGCAATAAATACTTTTACACAGATCTCTTGTACTGCAGAGTCTCTATCCTTCTGGCGTTCCCACCAATATCCTATATGCATTCCTCGCCTCCCCATTCGTGCTATATGCCCTGCTAGATCTCTTGTACTCAGAGATCTGGTTGTAAAAGTATTTATTTCCCCACCAACCTATTTCTATTTTTGAACTGTGTTCAATATCACTAGTCGAGGAGGATGAGGTTGGCAGGGCATGTAGGACGAATGGGGAGGCGAGGAATGCATATAGGATATTGGTGGGAACACCAGAAGGAAAGAGACTACTGGGAAGACCAAGGTGTAGGTGGGTGGACAATATTAAAATGTATCCTTGTGAGATAGGACTGTATGGTATGGTTTGGATTGATCTGGCTCAGGATAGGGACCAGTGGAGGGCTCTTGTGAACACAGTAATGAACCTTTGGGTTCTACAAGAGGCTGGAAAATTCTTGAGTGGCTGCACAATTGACAGCTTCTCAGGAAGGGCTCAGCTCCATAAATAAGTTTAATATCACTTCGCCCATATTCTTTGGGTTTGATTTGAGTGCAGTTCTATTAAACTTGGTTCCCTGTCCCCTTTCGAAAAAACAACGGAATAAGAACCTCTGCAGCTCTGGAGTACAAGAGATTAGGTTGCAAATTATTTATCTGGAGAAAGTTTCTCACCAGTGCCTGGAAAGTCATAACCTTTCTTTCACATGAAACACCTCTTTAACCAAAGGCACTGAACACTGTGAACTGTGACATACATGGAATACTTGTATTTAGGAAAGCTGAAGGTGGGGAAACTTGAAAGAAAATTGTTTCCATCAGAGATACATATAGTAAGCCTCATAATTTCCTCATAACTTACACTTGAAAGCCATATAGAACACAGTTTTTCAGTTACATTTAAGTATTATAAATCATATATTGTAAGAAACAATACTTATGTTCCCATTTATCATTATTTTCATTAGAATGATGGAATTCGAGAATGTGAAATGCACTCGTCAACAAGATTAAGACTGCATTTAATGATATAAGAAAATCGGATACATTCATCTTCACCAGTTCAGTACTGGGCAGAATAATAACATAGGACAGGACAAGGGCTATGGCAGTTCACAGTCATGCCCTTTGGCCTCTGCAATGCCCCGGCAACCTTCGAAAGGCTAATGGAGACAGTCCTACGAGGGCTCACGTACGATTCATGCCTTTTGTATTTGGACGACGTGATCGTAATAGGCCGCACCTTCCAAGAGCACATGCTCAACTTACGGAAAGTGTTCGAGAGGTTCCGGGAAGCCCGTCTAAAACTTAACCCGGAAAAGTGTAAACTCCTGCAGGAAGAGGTCCGGTACCTCGGGCATATTGTGTCACCACAAGGGGTATCCACCGACCCGGAGAAATTGAAAGCGGTGCGAGAGTGGCCGACCCCGAAGGATAAACATGAAGTTAGAAGCTTTCTGGGACTATGCGCGTATTACAGGCGATTCATTTCAGGGTTTTCCAACATTGCGAAGCCACTAACGAAACTAACGGAAGAGAAGCAAACCTTCCAGTGGACTCCAGAAGTGGAGGCCGCTTTTCAAACGCTAAAGGGTGCCCTATGTGCTGCCCC